GAAATGTCTAGTGGGCGGGAGGGGCACCTCGGGGAGGGCCAAGGTAAGCGGGACGGGAGGGAAGAAGGGGTGGGACTGGCGAGCCCCCGACCCCTCCAGCCACCCACCAGACGGGACCCGCCTCCGCCGAGCCAGCCCCAGGGCAGCCACCTGCCCATGATGGGAACCCTTCATCGGCGGGGGTCCCTCCCGTCTCTTGTTGTGGCGGTGGAGGTGCTGCTGCTGCTGCCAGTCCCCCCGCCTGCATCCCGCCTCCCGAGTTTGCGATGCTGTGGGGGGAAGCGGTGCGGCGGCGCTTTGTAAAAGCCCTGTTGGCCAGTCCCCATTTTGGCAAACACACCCCCGCAGATGGGTCGCCCTGTCCGTCTGTCTGGAGCAGCGGGAAAGAGCAAAGGGAGGATGTCCAGGAGCACCTTCAGGACTCACGAAATATGTGGCGGTGGAGGGGGACGGGGGCCCATCGGGAGCCTTCTCTCCAGGCCCCGCCTGGAGGTTGGCAACCCCTGTAATTGGTGGACACGCAGGCAGGGGGGCGCCAGAAGGTAGCCCTGCCTAGGGCACAAAAAAGCCTGGAGCCAGCCCTGCCTGCAAAGCTTTATGGGATAGGAAACAGAAAGACCTCAGCTAACCCAGGCTGTTATACAGAAATGATCGCTGATCTTTCTCCCACAATGAGATGAGCAGGCGGGACAGCCCGGGTCCCTCTTCCTTTGTTTTTTTACTCTTGCAGTTTCTACACGGTGTCTGGGCAAGAGATCCTCTGAACGCTGTTCCATTTACCCATCTCAAGCCAGACATCCTGTACCTTGCCTGTCTTCTCCCTTCCAGTGTGCAGTCTCTGCCTGGCGTGATCTCTGAAGAGGGAATCTGCTTTTCCTTTCAGGGTCCCTTTTCCTTTGAGGAGGTGTCCATCGATTTCACTGAGGCAGAATGGGCCCTGCTGGATCCGGGACAAAGAGCTCTGTACAGGGAAGTCATGCTGGAGAACTACGAGAATGTGGCCTTTCTGGGTAAGGGATCTTTCCCGGGTGCCAAAGGTGCAAATTGCTGCCATTGTGAGGAGGCATGAATCAAAATATTGAATAGGTATTCACTGTTTTGAGACCTTTCCCGCTACTTTGGGGGGGGGGCTGTGGCTTCCTGGCAGAGCATCTGCTTGGCATGTAGAAGGTCCCAGGTTCAATCCCCAGTATTTCCAGTAAAAAGGATCAGGTAGGAGGTGATGTGAAAGACTTCTGCCTGAGACCCTGGAGAGCCCCTGTCGGACTGAGTAGGCAACACTGACTTCAGTGGACCAAGGGTCTGATTCAGTATGAGGCAGGTTGATGTGTTCCTGGGTGTGTTCTTGCCCAGGGGCAACAGAGGCCAGTGTTGTGGCCATCACCCAAGCCAGAGAAGGTGTCCTGACCTGAGGCAAAAGTCGAGATGAGAGGCCCTCAGAAGGACTCTGGAAGGGACCGGATCCTCATTTCTCTGTTGCCAGGCTTTACAAGACACCCTTCCTGCGGAATGGGATTCCAGACAGCCGCTCTGCCTGTGATCTAGAAACGATCCTGTCAAGAACCAAGGCCTGTGTCCCCCTAGGTCAATAAGACCATAAGAACATAAGATAAGGCAATGTTGGATCAGGCCAATGTCCCATCCAGTCCAACACTCTGTCATACAGTGGCCAAAAATACCAGGTGCCATCAGGAGGTCCAGCAGTGGGGCCGGGACGCTAGAAGCCCTCCCACTGTCCCCCCCCCCCCCAAGCACCAAGGATACAGAGCATCACTTGCCCCAGACTGAGAATTCTAATCTATACAATTTGGGTAATAGCCACTGATGGATCTCTGCTCCATATATTTATACAATTTCCTCTTGAAGCCATCCATGCTTGTAGCTGCCACCACCTCCTGTGGCAGTGAATTCCATGTATTAATCACTCTTTGGGTGAAGAAATACTTCCTTTTATCTGTTCTAACCCGTCTGCTCAGCAATTTCATTGAGTGCCCATTTGTATTGTGAGAAAGGGAGAAAAGAACTTCTTTCTCTACCTGCTCTATCCCATGCATAATCTTGTAAACCTCAGTCATGTCACCCCTCAGCCGTCGTTTCTCCAAGCTAAAGAGGCCCAAGTGTCTTAACCTTTCTTCAAAGGAGAAGTGTTCCCTTTTATCATTCTAGTTGCCCTTTTCTGCATTTTTCCCAATTCTATTACATGCTTTTTAAGGTGTGGTGGCCAGAATTGCACACAATATTACAAATGAGGTTGCACCATTGATTTATACAGGAGCATTATGATACTGGCTGATGTGTTTTCAGTTCCCCTCCTAATAATCCCCAGCATAGCGTTGGCTTTTTTTATTGCAGTTGCACACTGTCTCGACATTTTTGGTGAGTTATCTGCTCCGACTCCAAGATTTCTCTCTTGGTCAGTCTCTGCCAGTTTGGACCCCATCAACCTGTACCTATAGTTAGGATTTTTGTCATCTGCAAATTTAGCCACTTCACTGCTTACTCCCAATCCCAAATCATTAATGAACAAGTTAGAAAGCACCGGACCCAGCACTGATCCCTGCGGCACCCCACTGCTTACAAGCCTCTGCTGTGAAAATTGCCCATTTATCCACACTCTCTGTTTCCTATTAATCAGCCAGTTTTTGATCCACAAGAGGACTTGTCCTTTTATCCCATGACTATTGAGCTTACTTAGGAGCCTTTGATGAGGGACTTTATCAAACCTTTCTGGAAGTCAAGGTAAACACCATCTATTGAGTACCCCTTGTCCACATGTTTGTTCACCCCCTCAAAGAACACTAACAGGTTAGTGAAACAAGATCTTCCCTTACGGAACCCATGCTGAGTCTGCCTCAATAGTTTTTGTTCATCAATGTGCCTACTAATTCTCTCCTTAATAACCATTTTCACCAACTTACCTGGTATTGATGTCAGACTGACTGGCCTGTAATTTCACAAATCTCCTCTGGAACCCCCTTTAAAGATGGGAGTGGCATTAGCTCCTTCCAGTCCTCAGGAATGGAAGCAGATTTTAAAGAAAGATTACATACTTTTGTCAGGAGATCCCCAAGTTCACATTTGAGTTCTTTCAGAACTCTCGGATGTATGCCATCCAGGCCTGGTGATTTATCAGTTTTTAACTTGTCTATCAGTCATAGGACCTCCTCTCTCATCACCTGAATCCGGCGCAGGTATTTCAACACCCCTCCTGAAATCAGTGGTTCTGGAGTGGGCAAGCACTTCTCATCTTCCACAGTGAAGACAGAGGCAAAAAATGCATCCATCTTCTCAGCCATTTCCCTATCATCCTTCAGTACTCCTTTTACCCCTTGGTCATCCAAGGGCCCCACTACCTCCCTGGCTGGTTTTCTGCTTCTAATGTATTTGAAGAAAGTTTTATTGTTGGTCTTCATGCTTTTTGCTATATGCTCCTCATAGTCCCTTTTTGCCTGCCTGATCACAGACTTGCATTTCATTTGCCACAGCCTGTGTTCCCTTTTATCAACCTCACTGAGACTAGATTTACATCGCTAGTCTCTTTGTACCTGAGCAGCACCCAGTTCAGTGGGTTCATGAGAAGAGAGCACACAAGTAAAGAAGACCCCTTTTTAAATACATAAATGTTTGTTAAGGATTTAAAAATAAAACATCACTAAACAGCCACGTTGCTGCAGCTTAACAACAGAAAAACAAGGAAAAGTAACTGTTCTATCTCATACATGAAATACATGGTATTAGAAGGCAACTCTTTTACAGGATCGATATTCCAGCTGTAGCCTAAATTACTTAAAAAAAACTATTCATCATGATGCAGCAAGAAATTATCAAGACATACTAGCATGGCATGAGCATGCATTTATCTTGTCTTCCCTCTTGTCTATACGTGTATTATACTTCTGCCTCCTATGGTCAGGTGGTCCTAATGACCCAATGAAGGATCCTCCTTGATGGAATTTTCCAGAGGCTGCCAGCACCCTCCTAATCCCCCCTCCCTCCTGGCTACACAACTGGATACAGGTTCTTACGATTAACTAATGTAAGAATGTAAAAAAAAAAGAAATGAAAGAAAAATGTAAGAATGATAGCTGCAGGGAGACTCGAATCAGGACTGCCTAAAAGTCAGACCAGGCCACTTAATAATCACGTAAACCCTAGGGGAAACTAGCGTCCTTTGCTTCACAGATCTATTCCCCTTAGACTCGTTGTGATTCTGGGCTTTGATCTTGACTATGGTATCATCCTTCCAGAAGAGTTTTTACTCTCGAATTTCTTTCTCTCTCTCTCTCTCTCTCTCTCTCTCTGAACTAAGGCAAGAATATAAGAGAGACTACGGTGGAGATAGACAACGGCCTTGCATCTAAAGAAAGGCTGACTATTTCCTCAAGAGAATCCCAAGAACATATTTTGTTCCCAAATGAGCTGGCTGAGAGTGAGTATCCTTCACGGCTATACATGGGAAAAGGCAAGGAAGTGCCATGGGGGATTTCTGATTCCCTTTGAGCAACGCTTTGTACAATCATACAGCCTGCTGGGGAAGGAGGCCCTGAAAATCGGGAGGCTCGGAAGCTCCTTCTGGGCAAGTGCTCAGCTGTGGCACTTGAGGGGGTGAGGTATCCTTAAATACTGGGTATTCCAGGGAAAGGTGGAGGGGTGAATTAGATGAGCCAAGGTAACCGAGGCCAAATGGCCATCGTCAATTCTTTTCTACTGCAGTCTTTGCCTTTGGACCTTACCAGCCCTCCCAGGTGCTAACAGGATCTATGTCTTTACTCTGTCTTTACTCCAGCAGAGGATGATGAGAGGAATGAAGTAGGCGAGGACGTTCATCAACAAATGCCAGATAAAGTTAAAAATGAAGACTTGAAAGAAAATATCAGGAATCAAGGTGGACCAATGAGAAAGAAAGTTGGTCATATGGTTGAGAAGAGAGATGGAAGTCAGGGTAATGTACATACTCAAAAGCACAGGATAATGAAGGCAAGTAAATCCATTGGGTGTGAAAAGTACTTTAGAAATGGATCACAGCTCTTCATAACCCAAAGAATTGACAGAGTCGATAAACGTTTTGAATCCTCAGAGTGTGGAAAGAGATTCAGTGAGAGTTGCAGTCTTCAACTGCGTCAGAGAACCCACAAACGGGAGAGACCATTTGAATGCTCGGAGTGTGGAAAGAGATTCAGTCGGAGTGGCAGTGTTCTACTGCATCAGAGAACCCACACAGGGGAGAAACCTTTTGAATGCTCAGAGTGTGGAAAGAGATTTAGTTGGAATGGCAGTCTTCAGGAGCATCAGAGAACTCACACAAGGGAGAAACCTTTTGAATGCTCAGAGTGCAGAAAGAGATTCAGTCAGAGTGGCCATCTTCAACTGCATCAGAGAACCCACACAGGGGAGAAACCTTTTGAATGCTCAGAGTGCGGAAAGAGATTCAGTCGGAGTGGCAGTCTTCAAGAGCATCAGAGAACCCACACAGGGGAGAAACCTTTTGAATGCTTAGAGTGTGGAAAGAGATTCAGTCTGAGTGGCAGTCTTCAACGGCATCAGAGAACCCACACAGGTGAGAGACCTTTTGAATGCTCAGAGTGTGGAAAGAGATTCAGTCGGAGTAGCCGTCTTCTACTGCATCAGAGAACCCACACAGGGGAGAGACCTTTCGAATGCTCAGAGTGTGGAAAGAGATTCAGTGAGAGTGGCAGTCTTCAACTGCATCAGAGAACCCACACAGGGGAGAGACCTTCTGAGTCCTCAGAGTGCGGAAAGAGATTCAGTCAGTGTGGGAAGCTTCAAGAGCATCAGAGAACCCACACAGGGTTGAAACCTTTTGAATGCTCAGAGTGTGGAAAGAGATTCAGTCGGAGTAGCAGTCTTCTCGTGCATCAGAGAACCCACACAGGGGAGAAACCTTTTGAATGCTCACAGTGTGGAAAGAGATTCAGTCGGAGTAGTAGTCTTCAACTGCATCAGAGAACCCACACAGGGGAGAGACCTTTTGAATGTTCAGAGTGCGGAAAGAGATTCATTCAGAGTCGCAATCTTCAAGAGCATCAAAGAACCCACACAGGGGAGAAACCTTTTGAATGCTTAGAGTGTGGAAAGAGATTCAGCTGGAGTTGCCATCTTCAGCTGCATCAGAGAACCCACACAGGGGAGAAACCTTTTGAATGCTTAGAGTGTGGAAAGAGATTCAGCTGGAGTTGCCATCTTCAGCTGCATCAGAGAACCCACACAGGGGAGAAACCTTTTGAATGCTCAGAGTGTGGAAAGAGATTCAGTGTGAGTAGCAGTCTTCAACGGCATCAAAGAACCCACACAATGGAGAAACCTTTTAACAGCTCAGAGTGTGAAAAGAAATTCAGTACCAGTGTCAATCTTCAAGTGCATTGAAAAAGCCACAGAGAAGAGAAACCTTTTGAATGCTCAAAGCATGGAAAGAGATTCACTCAGAGTTGCACTTTTCTACTTCAGGGAGGATCCCACACAAGGAGAAGCGATTTAACTGCTTAGTCGTGAAAAGAGCTTTTCTCCTATTTCACACCTAAAAACAACATATCATATCAAGTATTGAAAAGGTAAAAAATGCTGGAAGAAGCGTGAATCTAAACCGAAACCTTATGCTACCCAGAACAAATGTTATAAATACAGTATGGAAAGAGCTTTAGCTGTGTTCAAACCCTCAAAAATATCCCAAAGGGAAGGAAGGAAGCAAGGATGGGCAATGGCTTCTGCTGCAAGAAGAATCAGCTGCTCTCTCCTTTAACATCGAGGACTCTTCCCAGAGAAGGAACCTTCTTAATACTCAATGTGTGGAAAGAGGCACAGGTCCGATCTTCATGTTCTTCAGAGATAATATAAATTTGATAATAAATAAATAAGAATGCATGCAAGGGTGAAACTTTCCTATGCCTGGCCCTGGCGCTGTAAGTTCATAAAGGCTGAGAAAGGAGTTAGACAAAGAAAGGCCTTTTTCATTTTTCCCCTTCTCTGTAAAATTTGCTACTTCAGGTTATCTGCCATTTTAACTCTGACGTCATCAAAACTGGCAAAAAGAGTTTCTTTCCCAAATTGTATGAAGCAGTACAGAAGTTTAGAGGGTAACGGATACGTACAGCCTCTTTTCTACTGGTATAACCATAGTGTGACCAGTCGGCATCCTTAATTCACAAGACACGTTTATCTGACAAGCAGTTCTAGAGAGACATTTCTCAATCTTAATCCTTCCCCAGTCCAGCCTGCTGTGAGCTTTTTTTTGGGGGGGGGGAGGTGTGGGGGGTTCTCACCACTTTGAAACCCAAAGCATTCTGGAAGTAGGATTAATTTGGGGTGAAAGGAAAAGGTTATGTCCTCTAAACCAACAACTCAATAAGTTCTAATGGGTCAGACCCCCTCTTCCCCCTCAAGAACCAGTCTTGTGGACATGTTCCAGTATCTACAGAGTTGGCAGGTGAATCTTGTGAGGCACTGTGGTGTCCTCTTATTAGGGAGGAGGAGGACTGGTTTTCCCTTTAAATGTGCTCTTTGCTTTATTAAACTGGGTAGATTCGGCTGCCACCAGGAATTTAAGGATTTCCAAACCTTCTCTCTGTTCCTTTTTCTGGTAAAGTAACCCAGGGTCTAGACTTTTCAGGGATCTATGTGGTCCTGAGGAAGGATTGAACTCAATTCTGGGATAACTTAAACAAAAGACGATTTATTGAACTAAGAACAAAATATGAGGTTGGTTATTCTGTTAGTGTTTAGGATAAAGGGACTTGTAAATATGTTGTTCAAATGTATCACACACACAGCCTTTTTTTCCTTTACTTTTGTTTGTTTGACCCTCAGTTCCAACATTAACAGGATTCGCTGTTTCCTTTAGAGTCAGCCACTCAGGCTAAGGACATATATACTGCCCTCTTTGAGATCTCACACAGAACTATAATAACCCTCACTGACTGAACACCAACTGATCAATTCCAACTGACTTTCATAACTAACTATTCATAACAGACTAACTGACACACACACACACACAGATTCCTTTCAAAAACTCCCCCCACACTGTCATCCACCAATCACAGCACATTTGTCTCTCTCAGTCACTCTAGTCTGCTTATCACCACACTTCAACCAAACATTTAAAGGCACACACACACTCTCATAAAACAAGGAATCATTACAGGCACGATTTCCCCAATCCAAGTTATCCTCCCCACCCCCAGATTCTCACAGAGAGAATCAGGAGGGAGAAGTAGGATTCCCTCCTCCTTCTCTGAATGCCACCACTGCCACCACCCGTGCATGTGCTGGAAATGACCTAGACTGAGCCCTGGGCCAAGGCGTCCTCCCCCCACGTCTTCCTCCTCAGAGCCCTCCTTTAATTCCTCAACTGAGATTGTGCTTTAATTCTGTTTCTGTCTCCTTACTTTGTTTTTGAGAGTTGGTAACAGGCCCGAAGGGAAAAAAATACCCTCCCTCATTCCCAGAGTCTTAATGTGTGTGGAAATGGGTATCCGAAGAGATAAATAGCATCTTGTAAAGCCTCTGTTAAAGGGACAGCACACTTTTCCCCTCCAGGCAGTTGGCATCCCTAGATTAAGTTTTTCTTTATGGATCAGAGAAAACAGTACACAGCTAAGGAAGAGTCACAGCTCATTAAAGATATTATTGTTTGTATCAGGTGATTAGACTTTGTTTTTTCTGTGCTTTGTGGGCTCTTTGAACTCTCCCCAGTTGTGATTTGAGTGGATTGAAAATTTACAGATTTGTTTTTAAGGGGATTGCCCGGTTGGTCTGCATACCCCTTGTATCAACTTGATTATGTATTTTGTATTATGATATGCTTCCTGAGTGTTACTCCGCCATATGATAAATAGTTATAATAATGTCCTTTTTGGGTGTTTTAATGAGTTTGGCTTCATGACATGTGTCAAAGGTTAGTGTGATGGTGGCCACTGGGCCAGGCCAACCTGCATGGTAGGGAGTCCTGAAGGACTTGGGGGGGGGCACCTCAGTCCCCCCTCCCCCCAATACTCTTTCCTCTTTTCCTCCTCTTGGCATCCCCCGTATCCTCTCCCCTTTCCCTGCCTCATTCTCTCCTCAGTCTTTCTCCAACCTACCAGTTATCACCTATCTATCTTGTGCTGTATTTATTATTTATTCTTTACTTCATTTTATACTCTGCCTTTCTTCTCAGTGGGGACCAAAGCAACATGCAGCGCTCTTTTCTCTTCCTTTTTAGTCTGACAGCAATCCTGTGATGTAGGACAGGATGATATAGTGTGAGTGGCCCAGAATCAGCCAATGGGCTTCCACAGCAAGACGGGAATTTGAACCTGGGTCTCTGAGACCCTACCCTTACGCTGTGACTGATAAGTCACACTGGTTTTCATAGGGTGGCTGCTGTTGATCAAGCAGCCAGTCCTGGGTGAAACTGCAAGTAATCCCTGAAAAGAGAGAGGTGATGTTGATTGGGAAGGTGGGGATCTTGAAGGACATTGTGATCCCCACTTCTGATGGTCTTCAGCTGACCCTTGTTGACTCAGTTAATAGACTTGGGGTTATATACGAGATCCAACATTATTGCTGCAGAAGCAAGTTCACCTAGCTGCAAATAATGCTTCCTCCCAACTCAGCCCTACCAAGAAGATGGCCCCTTACCTTGCTATATATCTATATCTTTCAATTTATTAATCGCTCAATCCTGCAGAGCTGCTGGCCCTGAGCGATTTACAGTTACACATATTCACAAGGGACTAACAATGATTCATAGGGGGTAAGGGAGGACAACATATAAATCTTTTTTTTAAAGTCGCGCACGTTTGCAGCCGACGGGGATGCCGTGTTCCAGACGGCATCCACTCGGCTTGGCTTGATGACGTCAGTTTTTACAGAACTGCTTCGAGTCACAGCATCGCACTGCCACCGCCTGGCTGGATTGGCCCATCGCAGGCTTCTTAATGCCAAAGAGATCTTTCCGAGCTTATGAGCTGGACATTCCGTTTCGCCGGCTAACACCTCCCCCCACCGGGGGGGTTTAGTGTGCCCACCC